CTGGACACGCCGGGTCCTAGGCCCAGCCTGCTCTGCACTTCGTGGCCTTGGGAAAACAGGCATCACCTCGTGAGGTCTAAGAGGAAATGACTGCCCCGCTTCCCTGCTCTGACCAGTGGCACTAAAACTACCACATCCTCCACTCGGAGCTGCGGCCCCGCTCCTCAGGGTCCCTACAGCATGTTCCACGTGCCACCCACCTGCAGGGCCCTGGAAGACTCATCCCCACACAGCTCCGCCCCCTGCAAGCTATAACCCACCCTCTGCAAGCTGCCGTCTCCCTTCTGCTCCGAGGAGCCACGACACACATGTGAAGCACCTGCTCACGGCTGGCCCACCTTAGATGCAGGTGGCCCCTGGCACAGCAGATGCCCAGAAACCAGCTGAAATAGCTGAGAAATACCCCTTTCCAATAGCTAGTTTGTGCTTACATGAGCATTTATCGAGCACCTACTGTGTGCTCTTCCTGTGCTGGGGCCACAGAGACAGACAGGGTCCTGGCCCTGGAGAGTATATGGGGAGCCCGACGCCAAACAAATGACCACAAGGAAACGAGGAAGCAGCCACGCAAGGCTTTCCATCAGTCTGCAGCCCCTCCCCTGCCCTGTGCCAGGCCCCCGAGGACGGGCCAGGCTTCCACACGACAGCGCAGACCTGAGCCTTGACCGGTCGGAGGACGTCCCCGGGGGCGCTGGCGCCCAGCCATTCCAGCCAGAGGGGCAGCCAAGCTGACCCCAGAGGGCAGGCTTGGGCAGCCGAGAAATCGGCCCAGCAGGTTGACCAGAGGCTGGGGAGACATTCAGGTCACACTGTGAGAGCTGCAAAGGCCAAGTGCGGAGGCGGCCTGATGCTGCAGATGGGCACCCTGAGACATGTCAGCCGGGGAAACAGGCCAGAGAGGCCCCCGGGCCAGAAGAGCCAGGACACTGAGAGGGGATTACGGGGTCCAGGCTGGAGGCTGCGGCCCAGCCAGAACGTCCGCCCCGCGACTGAAGGCTTTCCTGACCCTGGACCCGGAAGACACAGAACCGACTCACCTCCCAAGCCCAGGCCCGCCTCCCACCTGCCCAGGCTCATTAGCACCCTGGCTGTGGGTGAGGCCGTAGTGGGGAAGGAGGGCAGACCCGAGGCAGGGATCCAGCTCCTCGCTGGCACCGCCACCGAAAGCCTGTGCTGAGAGGGCAGCCAGGCCCGGGAAGGGGGCTGTTGTGCCGAGTTCACGTGGGAGAGGTTGATTCCGGGCTGCCGGTGTAAAACTGTGTCCCTTTCCGAATACTTGGCAGGAACAGATCATGGCTCCCGGTGGAGGGCAGCCAGCCAGAGGTGTCTGGGGCGGAAGGCGAGGGGGCTGCCCCTGGCCGGCTCTGTCTGGCGCCGACTCCCTGAACAGAGCTCTGATGCCCCTGCCATCCCCCGGGGTGCCTGCCCCCCATTTTCCCCAGACAACATCCCACCGCCCTCCTTCCCCACCACCCCGCACCCCTAACATCCAGCTTCCTAGTTGGTGCAGGCGCAGCCTGTGACCCCGCGACCACATCCAGGGTCTGGCTCGGGCAACAGTAGGACAGACGTGGACAGACAGGTGCCTGAGCATGGCACCTGGTCCCAAAGCCCTAAGGACCTGACTCCTTTCCACAGGTCCCAGAGAGGAGCCATGGCCAACGGTGGGTTCACTGTAACCCCCTTTCACCCGGCCGCAATGGGAACAAGAATTCCAAGTTCCAGCCCAGCCACGACCACCACCCCGCCCGCCGCAACGAGAGATACCACACTTCCAGAGCTGTACTCCCTGATGCCCTCGACCCGTGCCAGACACTCCTTTAGAACATCAGTTCAATACGGAGGAAAAGTCAGGATTAAGTCCTTACTAGTATAGTCATCACCACTACCAAAGACGTTCTCCAACTCAAAAAGCATCCTCTGGGGTGGTGGCATCTTCCAATCTGGTCCTCCCAGGAAGCAGCAGAGCAGGAAGGCTGGGCGGGCCGGGCAGCAGAGCGGTGCGCGGGCTCTGGAGCCAGAGTGCTGGAGGCAAATCCTGGCCGCTCACTTACGCGCCTGTGACTCCGGGTAAGTTACTCAGCCCGGGAAGTGTCCTGATCTTAGGAATATGAGGAACCTAGCATAGCAGGTGCTAGGTCCATAAACGGTGCTGACTATCATGATGATGATACAAAGAAGGTGAGTATGGTCAGTTCTCCCGGGTTCCCGCTAACCCACCTCAAACACAGTCCAGAGAGCAGTCTCTGGAGCCGGAGGGCTGCTCAGAAGAGGAGCAGCTGCACCAGCCTCCCGGGCACCCCCTGACTCCACAGCCCCTCCCAGAGCTTCAGCGCCTGTGTCTCTGCGATGGCGCGGATGCCACCACCTCCCGGTGGCTGCGGGATCAGAAAGGCGGGGACGTGCTAATGAGGAACGTGGCTCAGGAGCCCACAGCTGAGACTCAGCCACGCTGTGTCCGCAGGACCTCACTGTTCGTACCAGGATGCTGACGCAGTCAGGGCTGGGTCCCCATCCTTCCCTCGGGGGACATCAAGAGGCAGAAAATGATAGTCTTCCATCAACCCACATAAAGAAAACAATAAAACTTTATCGACTGGGAGCTCCGAGATGGGGGCTCACAGGGTCAGCACGACTGCCTGGCCTGCTCTCCTGCGTCCACCTCAGGGTGGGCTGCCCTCTCCTGGAGGCGGGAGTGCAGGGCTGCTGGGACTGTGTGCAGCCTGCAGTGCCGGTTCCCAGGAAGACCCCGCTCTCCCCAGCCAGCAATCACGCCAGGGAAAGGTCCACGGCACTGCTACCACCATCGTGGACCCAGCCACACGATACTGAGCCCAGGGGCCAAGAGCCTGGACTCTGCGGGCTGGGAGGGGGCGCACACCTCTAGCCACAGGCCCCTCGTGTGGTCCGGCCCAGACCCCAGACCTCAGACCCCCTGGTCCCTGCTCCCCACAGCCCTGTCTCGACTGCTCTTCAAGTGACTCTCAGCACGGCACAGGCTGGCCCTCCTGGGACCAGCACCAAATCCAGGCCTCACCTGCCTCCCTCGGGTCTGCCGCTGTTCATTCCCCCTTCACTTTAGTCTCATGTCACCCACTCCTCCATTCAGGGATCCAGCAAACACTTAGCAGCCAGGCGGTGCTGAACGTTCTGGCAGAAAACAGAGGAATCCGAGAGGCGGCCTACCTTCACAGCCCAGCAAGTCCGTCATTACAGACATGGCACAGATCACAATTCAAAGAACAGAAAGAATGACGGCTGGACTGAGCCACCCAGGTTAAATTCCATTTGTAGCAAATAACACAATCAAAACAAACCCAAACAGCCACGGTTATGCCTGTGGGCATTAAAAAAAATCTAAGCCTTGGCCAACAGTTTGTTTCTCCCAAACACTAGTCCAAACACTAGTCAGAGAGCAACGAAACTCTCAGTAACACAGAAGGGTGCTGTGTGCTGTGAGCCGTGGTCATAAACGTGGGTGAACCGACCCAGGGGAGGAAGGGGACAGGAAAGCGTCCAAAGAGAACCGGAGTACAAGGCATTCCAAGTGGAAGGCACAGACATGAGAAAAGACATGGGCTGTGCAGGAAACAAGGGCTTGTGCACTGGCAGGGCACACAAAGCAAGTGGTAGAAGATGTGGCTGGAGCAGTAGGCAGGAACAGGGTCCCGACCTTCACCTTGCAGGAGGGAACTTAAGGACTCCTATCTGCCCATGAGCCCCCAAACCCCTAGATGGCAGTGCCCGTGTCTAGGTGCCCACCTCAGGGCCCTGCAGAGGAGCGCCCGGAGAAGGTAGCCTGGATACAGTCACAGCAATCAAAGGAGGAGAGAAATGTGCAGGTGGCCCAGGAAGCTCCACCTCCTCCAGGAAGCCTTCTCAGACTGCCACTCTCCCACAGCTACTGCAGTCACAACTGGGCTCCTGCACTGTCCTGGGCACGCTGCACCAGGTTTCTACCGAGGACCTACAACATATGAGGCTGATCACTCAGAAGTACCATTTTAATAGGCTGAAGCACTCCAATACTGACAAACTTCACCTGGACCTCACCCTGACACTCTGTCCACCCTGGGGCTATAGTGAGGAACAGTCCCAATCCCTGCCTCCTGGGGACCCAAGATAAAGCGGAAAACAAGCAAACAAGCGACAGTGACAAAACATGAAGTGCTGAGAAGGAAAAGAGAAAGGACCTGAACCAGGGTACTGGTAGGAGAGGGCGGTCAGCAAAGTGGGCTGTGACCTGCCGTAAAGATGGTGAGCTGCCATCCCACCAGGAACTAAGACAAGGGCAGGAAGAGGGTGGGTGAGGAAGAGGCCAGGTGTGGCTGCAATGGCAGCAGGCCCGTCTAGTCCAGCAGCTCGACCCAAAGAATTTTCTGCCATGACCGCAGTGTTCCATGCCTGCGCCGCGCTGGCTAGTGTCCGCCACACTGGACGGCGCACGAAGAACCCAGAGGGCAAAGGAGGAGTGAAACGTGAGTCTCCCAACAGGAAGCCCCTGGAGAGCTTCCGTGGGGGCAGCACAGATCAGAGGCACCTGGAAGCTGGACGGGCGGGAGGGCCCCTACCCTCCGTGCCCCAGAGGCACGTTTTAAGCCAAACTTAGAGGAAAGGCAGAAAGGAGCGGAGGGGGGGCACATCGTGTCCGGCTCTCCCTCAAGGGCTGCCTCCCGCTCGTTGGTGACGAGCAGCGTCCCTGGCGCCCAACAGGTGTGCACCCGGGCCTCGGTGCAAGCGCTCCGCCCCCGAGACCCTGCCCCTCCCACGACCCTGCCCCTAGGCCCCGCCCCTCCCATGGCGGTCCCGCCCCTCCCGGAGGCCCTCCCGCCGCGCGGGCCCCGCCCCACCCCGCCCCCGACCACCCCGGGCCCCGCGCGCCCCTCCCAGCCCCGGCCTCCGCCGCCCCCGCCTCCGGCCTCGCCCCCTCCCAGCCAAGCCAGCCTCCCCCCGCCGGCCCGCCCCCGCCGGCCCGGCACCACCGCACGCCGCTGCCTCACCTGGGCCTCGGTGGCTCGCGGGCGCGTTCCGTGCTTTCTCGGAGGGAGGGGCGGTACGGGGGGGCGGAGCCGGCACCCAAACATCACGTGACGGCCTCTCTCGCGCCGGCGAGGGCCTCAAGGCCGCCCCCCTTCCGCCCCGTCGGCCCCGACGCCTCGCGCCAGCCAATGGCCGCCGAGCCGCGGACGGGCTGAGGACGGCGTGAGCCCTGGGACTACAAGTCCCAGAGCGCCCCGCGCGGGCGGCGGAAACGGCCTGGGACGGCGGCCGGAGGGGCCAGAAAGCCTGCGCCCGGCGGGAGCCCCCCGCGGCTACCCAGGGCCGCGGTCCTCGAGGGCCACCGAGGGCGCGCCGGCTGGGCCGAGCCGTTCCCGCCGCCTTACCGGGCCTGTAGGTGGCCGGCTCACTCGCATCCCCGATCCTCAGTACCCCCATCTGTGGAACGGGGGTGACACGCGGAGTGCGCGGTCCTCGCCGCAGAGGCCCGACCGGATCTCACGGGTCTGAGAGGCCGAGCCGCGGCGGCGCAGTGGCCGTGCGGGCCCCGGACTCGGGTCCGGAGGGCACAAGGGCCAGCGCCCGGGTCTAGGGCGGCCACTGAGCACTGCCGGGAGGGGCCGTGCCCTGCGGACCCCACGCCTTGGTCCGTGCCTGCGGGGAAGTAGACGGGATCGTCACCACACCCCAAAGCCTTTCCGCGGAGGGCCCTCAGGGGACGGGTCTCCAAAGAGCGGGGTCTGAGGGTGCTCCGGCCACGCCCCACCCTCAGCGGGCGTGGGTGTGGAGGAAAGGAGGGGAAAGCGAAGTACACCTCCTCCAGGACGACCACCTGCAGAGTGTGCTTCCCGCCTACCCAGCGGACCGAGCGGGTGCCCCCGGGGCTGCGGACGGGGTGGTCTAGCGCAAGCAGGGCCGCCCGGGGCGGGTGCTCAGTACCTGCTGCCTCCTCCCTAGTCTGGGGCGAGGGCGCCTACCGCCCCTCGGAGAAGCAGGAGAGACGGTCCCCTCCATCAGGACCCGGACGGGTGAGGGTCAAGGGGATGACCAAGAGACCCCCAGAGGAAGAGCAGAGGGAAGAAGCTGCCGCAGCCCCCACGGGGCATCTGTCCGCTGCACTGCATCCTCGCTGTGCCCGCGGGGTCTTCAGAAGAAGCCTCCATGTAGCGCCCACCAAAGCCGACCCCAGAAACGCTCGCTGAAACAGGGGTAGCCACCTGGGCTTCTGCGTGGTAGCACCAGATCCCTGGGTCAAACACTGTCAACCTGGGGTCTGCAGCATGTTCCCCTCCCCCACCCTTCCTGTCTGTCCCCTGGAGACCGGCTCCCAGGTCAGCTTCTCTGGGAAATCAGCCCACCCAGCACCGTCCAGGGGAAGAAGGTGTTTACACTTCCACTCTGCCCCCCCCACACCCCGACCCAGCACGTGGCAGCCCTCCCTCACTCACCACAGACCCTCCTCCATCAAATCCCGTGAGCAGGTCATCCCTGCGGCCCAGTCCCCCTTTGTCCCTTACCAACAGAACTCATTTTGTTCAAGGCAGCAAGGTAGTGCTGGCCCGGAGGAAGACAGCAGAGGACTCGGTGAGTCTTCAGACCCAGAAGGGACCGATGTAGCCAGCTAGCCCTCTGCCTTCTCTTGTTCCAGCCTGGAATGCGGGCACGGTCTCCCAAGGAGAGCAGCCATTTGGGGAGCAAAGGGGTGGGTCCCAAGCTGCGGACAGGGAGCAGGTGCGTGGTGGAGCCTCCGCCCCAGCTGTACCCTCTCATCAGAGAGGAAACAAGCCCCTGCTTCCTCCACACTGCTGCTGGCACCACTCCTAGCCCGTACAACCACATCCGGGCATGACAACCACCCTTTTAGGCTTGTGACCTGCCCACCGTGCAACAGGCCTCTTGAGGGCAGGCCCATGTGGTTGAATTTGCATCTCGGCACTCAGCAGGGCACCCTGCATGTGGTGTGGCCTCGGGGAGTGATGACAAGTCAGTGAGCTCACAAGCTGCACTCACGGGGGCCTAGTGTTCACTCTGTGTCCCCACAGAGCCTACTCTCTTTTAACACCAAACCTATCCCTGTGTTGCTGTGTGATGTTGAGCAGTGACACCTTCTCTGGGCGTGTTCAAAGCGGTGATGTGGGAGCCAGCTGGAGAGCAGGCATGGGAGGGGCAGGGTGGCGCACCGCTACCCTGTCACCTGTCACCTGTATGGGGCAGTGTCACTGGGGGACACGTGCTGGGAAAGGGCTGGTGCAGGCCCAGCACCTAGCAGGGGCTTGACCAACACAAGCACCTCACCCCCAAGTGTTTGAGACCAGTCTCAGGCACTTAGAAAACTGACTCCACATGAGACTCCTAGCAGCCTCCCAAGGGTATTATCACCAAGCAGGAGTGGCAAAAAAAAAAAAAAAAAAACTCCACAACAGGAGCACTTGAGTGTCGTCTTTGCTAATCGCAACCTCTGTGAAGGAGGAGTTTGCCGCCCCTCCTGGGAAGTAGCAGAACCTGCTTATTCCCCACCCCCATGGGAGGAGGCACCTCCACACCCCAAGGAGCCAGTCTGTCTGTCCGTCACCCAGCACCCAGGCTTGCTACCTGGCACAGCGTCCCCCCCTCCTCTTGCCAAATCTTATCCTGTTTGCCATCATTTATTCATTCAACAACCTTCCGATGTCAGGCAACATGCTAGGCCTTGGGGATGCCACACAATTAGATTTGGTTGCTAATGCCAGAAAATCCCAATAACAGTGGCTTAAATATGATCAACGTTTACTTTCAGTGGTATACATTCAAGTCCAAATAGGCCATAGGGCTGGGAGGGTGGGCCTCACAATCATCAGTACCCTGGACTCCTTTAATCTTGTTCCTTCGACCCTCGAATGGGGCCTCTGCCTCATGGCACAAAATGGCTGTGTAAGTGCCAGCCATCACGTCTGCTTTCCAACAGCAGGAAGGAGAACTGGATAGTGGGAATGCACACACCCCCCAATCCCATCCTTTTAAGGACACTTCCTAGATACTGTACACCCCATATCTGCTTACACGTCCCCACCCCCACCACCACCACCCCGCTTGTCCAAAACTGGGTCCATTGGGTACTTTTAGTTGCAAAGGAGGCTAGGAAATGTCCTCTTCCCGAGGACTATGTTCCCAGCGGCCATCTGGGCTCTTGTACCAAGTAAGAAGGGGAAGATGGGACCCATCTAATAGTCTCCACCAAGACACAGCCCTTGTCACAGTGCTTGCCGTTTAGCAGGCAGGCCACAAAACGCACAGATGTGCACTGGGAACCTGGGTGAAGGCTGTGCAGGAGCAGAACGGGGGCGTGGGAGATCCAAAGGGGGCTGGGGGTCAGGGAAGTCCCCCTTGACAAGGAGGCCTGGCACAGGGGAGTCTTGAGGGGTAGCGTTTCTGGGAGGTGAGTTGGGAGTGTCCAGCAGGAAGGCAGGGAGCCTGTGGACATCCGTGTGCCACTGGCACACCTCCTGTGTGGAGGCGTCCTGACCTCTCCAGCCGCTGATGGCCTCAGAGCCCCTGCCGCTCAGACCACCCCTTATGCTCCCTCAGCCACAGGTGGGGAACCTGGCCCTGGCAGCGAGGGGCACACACAGGTCCACAAGGGGCCTCAGCAGCCCTGGGGCCCCGGGCCTGTCTCTGACGCCCAGGCCAGGGCTCTACCTCTACATCACAGCCCGCGCCCCTCGGGGCTTAAGATCATGAGCATGTAGTGGCCTTCAGATCATGGGCCGTGGGCTCGAAGACCAGCCCAGTGGACTTTAGGGAGGGTCTCATCTGCCTCTCCCTTTAAGGTCCACCACACACAATCTGGCCTGATTACCTGTGCCCGGTGCGTGCACTGATGGGCAGTACACCTGCACCCAGGTGACACTTGGAGCCCATGAGGGCCGTAAGCGTGCTGGCCACACCCCCAGCCCCCGGGCAGCCTGCGGTACTCACGTGGGGGGTGAGAGCAGAATGGACGGGAAGACAGACACTGAAGGGGACACCTTGGGGACCAACCAAGGCAGCCAGTGCTCACTGGTGCTTATTTCTCTGCCCAGGACACACCCACATTTTGTGGCCTCCTGGGCAGCTTGGCGGCCCCGTGGCTGGCCCGACATAAGACCAGGAGCAGCAGCGAGGGGCGCCTCTTTCCAGCTGCGCCAAGCCTGCCCCACTGTCCTGCGTGCATCCCCCTTGTCACCAGGACGTAGAGGAGCTCCACCGGCTTGACGGCCTCCAGCTGACGCTGGACAAGCCCCAAGAGGGAAGGGCCCCGGGCCGAGGCGCTCTCTCATCCATGGGTGACTGAGTGTGAGAGGAGAGGACAAAGGTTGGGCTACAGGAAGCAGACAGAGGAAAAGGCACTGCCTCTGCAGGGCCTGGACCGCTATCTGAGCCCCAGACAGCACTTGGGGTTTGGGGAAGGGGGTGCGTCAGCCCAGCGCTGTTTCCCAGGGGCTCGGGGAGTTGGGGTGAGGAGCTGGCAGGTGGGGGAGGAAGAGAAGTAAAGAGCAGGGGGCGTAGGGGAGGGGGAGAGGAGCAGGGGGCCACTCCGGCACCTGCGTGGGTCTGGCTCACCCCCAGGTAGGGTGTTGGGAGCTGGGCCTGCGTTTGGGCTCCTCTGGGAGGAGTGTGGTGAGTTCTCTTGGCCCAAGGCGTCCCCATGCCGGGGCCAACGTGGCTGCGGCCCGCACCCCGCCTTGATTTCCTCTGAGGTGCTCTGCACACATGGCACCTTGTTCTTTTGGTACCAAGTCTCTGTTTAGGGACAGACAGACTCCTTCTCCTCTCCCTGTCCCTCTTCTCCCTCCAGCTGGGCCTCCAGATCACTGGCCACACTGGCCACCAACCCTGCAGCGCCTCCCCCTGGCTCTACCACTGGCCAGCAGGGGCGGCCCGTCAACACCTGCCCTGAGCCTTGGCTTCCTCAGATCTGCAGCATGGATCACAGTGTTCCCTGCTCCGTGGAGCTGATGTGAGGCTTGTGGGGGCCAACGCCTGCGAAGGCTTCACAGCCCTTAGCCCAGACCTGGCCCGCTGGAGACCCTGGGCACGTGTGAGCACATGGCCTGTCTGACTTGTTATTGATCTCTTGGGTGCGTGCTGAGCACCAGTGCCAAATACCAGGGCCAAGAGCATGTGGATGCCACCCTCAGGGTGTCTCAGAGGAGCAGAAGGAGATAGGCCCAAAGAATCACCTACTGGGCTGTAAGTCTGTTGTTAGAAGGTTGTATGAGGAAACAGGGTGTTGGAAAGGTTTCCCAGAGAAGGGG